CCCAAGGACTGCAGCACTCCAGGCTTCCCTGTCCTTCACTATCTCCCAGAGTTTGCTGAAATTCATGTCCACTGAGTTGGTGATGCCATCCAACCGTTGCATCCTCTGTCGCCCCCTTCTCCTACTCCCTTAACCTTTCTGAGCATCAGGGTCTTTCCCAAGGAGTCAGCTCTCGCATCAGGTGGCCAAAGTATTGGAGTTTCAGCTTCAGCATCAGTCCTTCCAATGAATATTCAGGGTGTTTTTCCTTTAGGATTGACTGGTTTGATCTCCTTGCTGTCCAAAAGACTCTCAAGAGTCTTCCCCAGCACCACAGAACAAAAGCATCAGTTCTTCAGCACTCGGCCTTCTTTATGGTCCAGTTCTCACATCCGTACATGACTATCGGAAAATGTAGCACTTGGTAAATGTTAGCTGTTGTTCTTGCTTTACCGGCTGACTTGAAGCAACCAATGGCCAGTCGCGGGGTGTCCCTTTAACCTAGCCTCCAGCACTCTGAACTCTCCCCACTAGGTGTCGCGATTCAGCAGGCCCTGCCTGTCCCTTAGCTTGACTTTTTGCTTATTATCATTTTCGATTTGATTTGGTGATTTCAAGGGGATAAACTAGCACACTATCTCTTGAAGTCTCTGGGGATCCAGAAATTCCAGGAGAATTGCTGGCGTCCAGACCTGGAAGAGGCTCTTTGACTCCTGCCTTTTTCCAGAGTTAATGTGATGTACTTTATTGTCCAAATGAAGATATTTTAAGAGTGAGAAGGGTACCGTTAGTAACGATGCCGGGACAAGAGAAGTTCACGGGCTATGTCCCAAGAATCTGAACATGAGCTCCCCATCCATGGAGGTTTTTCCTCAGTATTTTCAGAATCCCCAGGACAGAAACTCCCTGACACACCCTAAGATCCCAGAACAGTAAACTGTAGCCTTGTGCTTTAGGGGGTGACTTAACTCCAGCAGATGTTGTCTTCCTGCCTTAAGAGTGTCCTGCCTGCTTGTCAAGTCATTTGCTTGAGTTTTGTCCTCGGTGGACGTGGTGGGCATGTGTCTGCCCCACAGACCTCAAGGCATCAAGGCCTCCTCTCTGCTGTATCCTCCACGGCTCCTCTTCCAGCTGGAAACCCCTTCAGAGGCACGAGTCCTCCATCTCTGGATGTGTTGAAAGAGAAGAAGTTTGTGGCCACTTTCTATATTATTTAAAAATTTTTAATTGAATTATAGTTGGTTTACAATGTTGTGTTAATTTCAGGTGTACAACAAAGTGGCTCAGTTATACATATACTTGTATCCACTCTTTTTTAGATTCTATTCCCATATAGGTCATTACAGAGTATTGAGTCGAGTTCCCTGTGCTATATCGTGCTGTGTTGTGTTCAGCTGCTCTGTTGTGTCTGAGTCTTTGCGACCCCATGGACTGTAGCCTGCCAGGCACCTCTGTCCATGGGGATTCTCCAGGCAAGAATATTGCAGTGGGTTCCCATGCCCTCCTTCAGGGGATCTTCCCAACCCAGGGATTGAATCCAGGTCTCCCACATTGCAGGCAAATTCTTAACCATCTGAGCCACCAGGGAAGCCCAAGAATACTGGAGTGGGTAGCCTATTCCTTCTCCAGGGGAGAGATTCCTCACTCGGGAATTGAACCGGGGTCTCCTGCATTGCAGGTGGATTCTTTACCAGCTGAGCTACCAGGGAAGCCCCCTGTGCTATACAGTAGGTCCTTATTAGTTATCTATTTTGTATATAGTAGTATGTATATGTCAGTCCCAGTCTCCCAATTTATCTCCTCTGTTTTTCCTTTGGTAACCATAAATTCAATTTCTACATCTGTGACTCTATTGAGGGGATTCTTCTAAGGTTTCTTCCGATCCCTAGTCTCCATCATCCTATTTCAGATTTGCTTATCTTCCATTAAAGGGTAGGGGGAAGCTAATGTTTGCACCCATCATGAATCGAATATTGTACTTTTGCTTCAACCATCTTGGTCATCCCATCAACCCCATGGGATTGGTATTTCAGTCCAGTCACTCAGTCGTGTCTGACTCTTTGAGACCCCAAGGACTGCAGCATGCCAGGCCTCCCTGTCCATCACCAACTCCCGGAGTTTACTCAAACTCATGCCCATTGAGTTGGTGATGCCATCCAACCATCTCATCCTCTGTCGTCCCCTTCTCCTCCTGCCTTCAATCTTTCTCAGCATCAGGGTCTTTTCAAATGAATCAGCTCTTCACATCAGGTGGCCAAAGTATTGGAGTTTCAGCTCAACATCAGTCCTTCCAATGAATACGCAGGACTGATTTCCTTTAGGATTGACTGGTTGGATCTCCTTGCAGTCCAAAGGACTCTCAAGAGTCTTCTCTCACACCACAGTTCAAAAGTATCAATTCTTTGGCGCTCAGCTTTCTTTAGAGTCCAGCTCTCACATCCATACATGACTACTGGAAAAATCATAGCCTTGACTAGATGGACCTTTGTTAGCAAAGTTGTCTCTGTTTTTTAATATGCTGTCTAAATTGATCATAACTTTTCATCCAAGGAGTAAGCATCTTTTAATTTCATGGCTGCAGTCACCATCTGCAGTGATTTTGGAGCCCCCCAAAATAAAGTCTGTCACTCTTTCCACTGTTTCCCCATCTATTTGCCATGAAGTGATGGGACCAGATGCCATGATCTTAGTTTT